TCTGTTTAGGGCTGCGGCCCTTCTAGTTAGCATCTGCACCTGTTTTGCCGACGTCGGGCTCTTCAACTCTAGGATGGCCTTGATCTGATCTGGGCTGGCCTTGATGCCCCTTCTAGTTACTAGGTATCCTAAAAATTTACCAGATCCAACTCCAAATGCACATTTTGATGCATTGAGTCGGAGCCGATATGCTTTAAGGATTTCAAAGACTGTTTTTAGATCGGTGAGATGACCCTTAGGCTCCTTGGTCTTAACAACCATGTCGTCGATGTAGACTTCTACTGTTCAGCCAATCAGGTGTTTGAACATTTTGGTTATCAGCCTTTGGTAAGTTACTCCTGCGTTTTTTAACCCGAAAGGCATTACTCTGTATCAGTACAGGCCTTTTGGGGTGATGAATGTGGTTTTTTCTTCATCTAAGGGGTACATGGCGATCTGGTGGTACCCCCTGTAGGCATCTAAAAAACTCATTCTTCCATGCCCTGAAGTGGCATCTACTAGCTGGTCAATTTTGGGCAGGGGAAAGCTGTATTTGGGACAGGCTTTGTTGAGGCTGGTAAAGTCTACGCAGACCCTCCATTTACCGTTCTTCTTCTTTACCACCACTGTATTGGATAGCCATGTTGGGCAGTGTACTTCTCTAATGGCCCTGGCCTCCAGAAGTCTGTCTATTTCTTTTTCTACTGCTTCAACGTGTATCAACGTCGGTCTTCTGGCTCGCTGAATTACAGGTTTGGCCGACCTGTCAACATTCAGTTTGTGGCAAGTGACCTCGGGGTCAATGCCAGACACTTCGTAAGGTGTCCAAGCGAACACCTCAATATTTGCTCTCAAAAAAGTTTTCAACTCTTTTTCCTCTTCTTCAGCTAAACCCGAGCTGAGAAGAAAGAAGCGTTCTTCATCCCCATCCTGGACGAGGATTTTCTTTAGTGCTTCTTCGCTCTTCTCAGCTGGTTCTTTGCCGACGTCTTCTAGGACTTCCACGTTTTCATCTTCAATTTCTGCCTTCTTTGGCTCTCGCACACTGCAGGTAGATTTCATTGCTGCCATGGAGCAATTCTTCGCCTGTAGCTGATCGCCTCTAACTTCCTCTATCCCATACTCTGTTGAGAATCGCAATAGTTGATGCAATGTTGAGGGAACTGCTCCCATTGCATGCAACCATAGCCTTCCCAAGATGATGTTGTAAGGGGAGGGTGTGTCGATAATGGTGAATTCTGTCTTTATTTTTCTGGTGCCAGCCTGCACCTCCAAGCTTGTTGCGCCTAGTGGCCACGTCGGTGTTCCATTGAAGCCGACCATCGGGCCATTGGACTGCTCCAAATCATCAGGATGAAGGCCCAGCTCCTTGTAACATCTAACATGCATGATGTCGCAAGAGCTGCCTTAATCAATCAGGATGCGTTTCACTTGGCACTCCCCAACCTGGAGGGATACTACCAAGGCATCATTATGTGGATGCTGGACCATCTCTAGGTCGGCTTCAGTAAAGGCTATCGTCGGTCCCTGACATTCTTCAGGCCGAGGTCTTTTATGTCTGGCCTGGTTTACGTGCTGTAGGTGTTTTACCTTCTGGGTCTCCCCTTGGATGTCGTTTTCGTTCACCTTTGAGTGAATTACATTAACCACCCGTGGTCCTCATGCTTGTGGTTGTTGTGCTGGGGGAGGTGGAGCTGCTGGTGCTTGAGGCCATCTTGCCTGTTCTTCTCTTGTCCTGGCCTCATCGACAAGGTCCCTCAGATGGCCTTTTCTTACCAAGTCTTCTAAGTGTGCTTTTAGGGCTCTGCAACCTGAGTTGGGTGCCCTTCTTCATTGTGGTAAGCACAACGCCTATCCACGTTTCTTCCCATAAATTCCCCTAGTGTTCTTGTCGGTGCTCTGAAATAGGGTTGGTTTCGTATTTGATCCAGGACTTTGTGGACCGGTATTCGAAACACAGTCGTCACTGCCTGTTTAGCCTTCAATTCTGTTTCTTGTTTGATCAATCCATTGTTACCTCGGCTTCGCTTCGGCGAGCCGTTTCCTTTCTCCTGCTTTGTCTCTTTGTTTCCCGACGTACCCTCTTCGGTTCTGGCGTACTTCTCGATTCTCGCCATGAGTTCTTCCATGCTTTTTGGCAATGTCTTTGCCAAAGACTTCCGTAGTGGGTAGTCATCTTCCAGGCCGTTCTTGAAAGACATGACCGCCACCTTTTGGTTGCATTCGGGTATTCGATTGAACACCTCGTAGTACCTTTTTGTGTAGGCTCTAAGGCCTTTATCCTTTGTGATTTTTAAGGCCATCAGTGCGTCGACCCTCAAGGGCTGTAGTTTGTTCGTCACAAACTTGGCCACAAACATCTCGGCCAGGCCTTCCCAAGTCTTTACGCTTCCCTTCGGTAGTTTATAGAACCAATCTGATGCAATCTCCCCGAAGGATGAGGGGAATACTTTGCAGAGCAACTACTCGTTCCCACTATATAATGCCATTGAATTCAAGTATAGTCCAACGTGAAAGTTGGGATCTGACTTACCATCATATATTTGGAACCTCAGCATATCGAATCTCTTTGGTGCTTCAAATTTGTCCAGTTCCACCGAGAATGGTGTCCTCGGTTTAACCGGGGAAGTTACCTCGGCTTTAGCATTCTGTTGTTTCCTCTTGAGGTAATCTCTCAAGTCTTCTTTACTCCTCCCTAGAGATCGGCTATCTTTGGACTTCAATCTTTTCGGCACACTACTTTCGGTCTCGTGGTGGGCCTGTTTTGATCTTTCTCCATGGGTTATGTCAAAGCAGAGCGCCTACCCTTGAACATGCCGATGTTCTTTGGGCTTTGGGTCCTTCATGTGATACGTCCTTCGGGACTCCTCTCATCTCGGCTCCTCTCGTTCGACTTCCCTGGAAGGTCGGTGAGAGTGCCTTCCGCTTCTGGTGTGCTGAGGGGCTTCGGGGATTGTTTTCCTTCCTCCCTTCTGGGTATTAGTTGCTGGAATCGGCGTGTCGTGCAGCGGGTACGGTGGCTGCATGACATTATTTTGCATCATGAAGTTGACGACCGACTGCAGGTCTGCCAACTTGTTTGCCAATTCTTTTACTTCTTCATCCCTCCGTAGGCACCTATTCCTCCATACTTGGAGGTTATCTTCGTTATAGTACTTGTTTTGGTCTGTCTTCTTTGAAGTGTCGCCCTCCTAGCCAACGTCTTTCTCTCCGTGGCCCTAGTCACGGGTTTCTGCATTGTGGTTGTCTCCTTTAATATCAAGGTTGATTGGTCCGTCACTCCCAGCAGGAGTGTCGTCCCCAATCTTTTCCTTCTGTCCGTTACTGACCATCTATTCTTCTAAGTTTCCCACAGACGGCGCCAAATTGTGTGAGTGATTTTCTAACCACACTGCCCGCTTTGTAACCAGTTGGAGAGCACCGGCAGAATAGATGGCACTTGGCTGACCTACAACAGAAAGAGAAGATTCTGGCGGTGGTTCGTCCACCCGGGGGCACTCCGACGATCAAGTCAGTATATCTCTCAAAGATAAATCAAGTGCTAAACTCACTGCTCAAAGCATAAATTGCGTACTTTAGACCCACGGGGGTGCCTCTCTTTTATAGTTACCTCAATCCAATCCCCATTAGAAGCCTGACTTCTATGGACTCCAATTCAGTACTTACTTTGGACTTCTCAAGAGATAAAGATAAACTTCCTAAGAGGTTTATCCTCATCTTGACTAAGTCTCCTCTTCATTCTAGGACTCTTGTCCCTTATCCGTTTATTTCAGATTCTGATATCTTCGGAGATAACCTCGGCAACGCCGAGATAACCTCGGCATAATGGCCAGGACACGTGGCACCTCGGCTGACACATCGGCGTCACCTTGCCACGTGTTGGTACCAGAAAATATATCCCCACAAATATTTATTTATAGTGTCAAATCAAATTAAAATGACCAAAATATTCTTACCCAACATAAGAAATTTATTTTTTTATCATAAGTCATAATTTGTAATTTCACACTTGCGTTTTTGGCCCTTCCCAAACCAATTTTGTTGCGTTTTTGGCCACTTGCGTTTTTGGAAAATAATAAAAAACGTGGCTTTTTATGAAAGTTCCCAACACGACACTGAATATATATCCACGTTTTTTAAAATTGATTATATTTTCATAAATTTTGAATAAATTATGCAAAAAAAAAAAAAAAAGAAGAAGTAAATCAGTAAAAGTAAGAATGATCTGGTAAATTGCATTGTGAATGTTAGATTAAGGCCAAGTTTGGCATATTGCAAAAAAGTCAAAAAGTTATTCAAAAAGTTAAAAAATTAACACTATTCACCAAAAGTCAACAATTACGGCCGCACAACTCCCAATCATAATTTTTCCTTACAAATCAATTTTTACAATATTTTATTATACATTTTGCCATAAAAAGTCAAAAAATTAACCCAAACATCCATATTTTCTTCCTCAATTTTTTAGTCTAAAAAGACAAAAAATACACTTATTTAGGACACCTCAAACAACTCCTAACCCTTTTCTTACATAAGTCATATTACTAATTTTATTAATATTTTAAATTTTTTTTAGAGCATGTGGATTCATTTATTATACTCTACATGTAAAACTCACTGCATCAAAATATAATAATAATAATGAATTCAATTGTTTTTTAAATAATAAGTCTAAGCATTACAAAAATTGTTTAACGAGATTCGTTTTAAAGCTTTGTTAGTCGATTTTAAGTTGTTTCATTAATAGACTTAGAACAACATTTGGTGACCAATTTTGTAAATTAAAGGTTATTTTGAGAAATGATTATTTTAAGTAATTTTTTACTTTTTATTTTTTTATGAGAAGATATATAAAAAATAAAAAAATAATTAACTTTTAGATGATTCCAAAATATCCACAAAAACAAATCGGTGAAATTGGTCTGATTCAAACATCATTCCGTTCGAAAAAACAATGATGATGAAACCATTATTCATTCAATGCCGTTAAAACGCCGTTAGACAAATGCTCTCTTTTTTCTGAGGATAAAATCGCGTTCGCTCGTCTTCCCTCCATTCCCGCCTCCCTCAACCACTCCCCAAAATTCTCTCTCTTCCATCAACATGTCGCCGGCGAAAACTTTCCGGCGAAATCTTCACTTCCTCTCTCTACTCTCACTCATCTGCCTCGTCTCCGGCGCCATATCCGACGAGCTCCAAATACTCCTCACCATCAAAACCTCCCTCCAAAACCCCAACACCAACGTGTTCGATTCATGGAATTCAAACAATCTGCCATGCAATTTCACCGGAATCACCTGCAACCCAGATGGCTCAGTCAAAGCAATCGAACTATCGAATCAACGCCTCACCGGAATCGTTCCTTTTCATTCAATTTGCCAATTACAATCACTCCAAAAGCTCTCTCTTGGTGGAAACTCGTTAATCGGATCTCTCTCGGAGGACTTGGGGAAGTGTGTTCGGTTACAGTATTTGGACCTCGGCAAAAATTTGTTCTCGGGATCAATTCCAGACATGTCTTCTCTCAACAGACTAATGTATCTGGATATGAATGGCAGTGGATTTTCCGGCACTTTCCCATGGAATTCGCTTGCGAACATGTCGGGTCTTGTCGTATTGAGCCTCGGAGACAACCCGTTCGATCGGACTCCATTTCCAGATGTGGTGGTGGGGCTTACTCAATTGAGATGGCTTTACTTATCGAATTGTGGTATAGAAGGGCGAATTCCTCCGGGAATTGGAAATCTCACCGAGCTGATCAACCTAGAGCTTGCCCAGAATTCTCTCTCCGGCGAAATCCCAACGGAGGTTTCGAAGCTTTCGAAGCTATGGCAGCTGGAGTTCTACGCCAACAACTTGATTGGAAAAATCCCAGTTGGGTTCGGAAACCTCACGAGTCTCGAGAAGTTTGATGGTTCAAACAATACACTCCAGGGTGATCTTTCCGAGCTCAGGTCCTTGAATAATCTGGTGTCTCTGCAACTATACAAAAACGGGTTTTCCGGCGAAATACCGCCGGAGTTGGGTGAATTCAAGAAGCTTGTGAACTTGTCGCTTTATATGAACCAGCTCACCGGTCCTCTTCCTCGGAATCTCGGGTCGTGGGCCGAGTTCGATTCAATCGACGTTTCGGAGAATTTTCTGACTGGTCCAATACCGCCGGACATCTGCAAGATGGGGAAGATGAGGAAGCTTTTGATGATTCAGAACAAGCTCACCGGCGAAATTCCGGCGACGTACGCGAATTGTACGTCGTTGTTACGTTTTCGGGTGAGTAACAATTCGCTTAGTGGTGTTGTTCCGAGTGGAATTTGGGGACTACCCATCGTCGGATTCATCGATGTTGCCATTAATCGATTCGAAGGTCCGATTACGTCTGATATTGGAAATGCAAATTCTTTAGCCCAATTATTCGTCTATAATAATCAATTTTCCGGTGAATTACCGCCGGAGATTTCAAAATCCAATGCATTAACTGATATCAATCTTGGGTACAATCAATTTTCGGGCAACATTCCGGCGACAATTGGCGAACTCAAACAGCTGAACAGCCTTCGTTTAGAGAACAATATGTTTTCGGGTCCAATACCGGAGAGTATAGGCTCCTGTGTTGCTCTCAACCAAATAAACATGGCTCACAATTCACTTTCCGGCGAAATTCCAGCTTCAATCGGGCAATTACTGGGTCTGAACTCCTTAAATTTGTCGGAAAATGAGCTCTCTGGTCAAATTCCGGCGAATTTATCATCGCTGAGTCTAAACCTCATCGATCTCTCCTACAACCGATTAACCGGACCCATTCCACAGTCTCTCTATTACGGTGTTTTCGCTGGAAACAGTGGCCTCTGCAGTCAGAAAAACAAGAATTTCAAACGTTGTTCGTCAGATTCCGGCGATTCTCAGTACCTCCGAGTAACCATACTTGCCGTGGCAGCGGGCACAATTGTGTTGCTTCTATTAGTTCTATGTATTTCGTACTTTAAAAAGAGTAAAAAAAATGATCAAGACCGTTCTCTAAAGGAAGATTCATGGGATGTAAAGTCATTCCATATCTTGACATTCACCGAGGATGAGATTCTTGATTCGATCAAGCAAGAGAATCTAATTGGAAAAGGCGGGTCTGGGAATGTTTACAGAGTTTCACTTGCAAATGGCAAAGAATTGGCTGTCAAGCATATTTGGAATTCGGATTCCGGTGGCTGGAAAAAGTACCGGAGTACTAGTTCGATGCTCACCAAGCGTGCCGGAAAGTCCAAGGAGTTTGATGCTGAGGTGAAAATTTTGAGCGAAATTAGGCACATCAATGTGGTGAAATTGTATTGTAGCATTACAAGTGAGGACTCGAGCTTGCTGGTGTACGAGTACATGCCGAATGGGAGTTTGTGGGATCAATTGCATACTTGTAAGAAGACGGCGATGGATTGGGAAACTAGATATGAGATAGCGGTTGGGGCGGCGAAGGGGTTGGAGTACTTGCATCACGGGTGTGAGAGGCCGGTGATTCACCGTGATGTTAAGTCAAGTAACATTTTGCTGGATGAGTTTTTGAAGCCGAGGATTGCTGATTTTGGGCTAGCAAAGATTGTTCAGGGTCAGACCCATTCAAGCAAGGACTCAACTCATGTGATCGCCGGAACCCCAGGCTACATCGCTCCCGGTATGCCTGTTTTCGTGTTACTTTATGTGTCGTTTGATAATATTGTCAAATTCCTATTTCTGCACAAATTTTCGTTTCTAATTTTGAGAAAAATGAAAATGAAATAAAAAACAGAACTTAATTTATTTTCTTTCGATGTTTGGTATTTTGATCATATTGATTCTGATTTATGTTTTTAAATTTGCAGAATATGGATATACTTATAAGGTGAATGAGAAGTGTGATGTCTATAGCTTCGGAGTAGTTTTAATGGAGCTCGTGACAGGAAAAAGGCCGATCGAGCCAGAGTTCGGGGAGAACAAGGACATAGTGAATTGGGTATCCAACAAACTGAAGAGTAAAGAAATTGTGTTGAGCACAGTGGACTCCACCATCCCAGAAGCTTATAAGGAAGAGGCAATCAAGATACTCAAAATTGCCATTCATTGCACATCTAGGCTTCCAGCTTTGAGGCCTACAATGAGAAGTGTGGTTCAAATGCTTGAAGAAGCTGACCCTTGTAAACTAGTCGGCATCATTATTAGCAAAGATGGTGGTAGTAAGAAAGATGAAGTGATGGATTACGATAAGGTTAAATCTAGGCCTGTCAATAGATCAGATTCAGACTTATTCTAGTGTAATCTAAATTCAAACCCGATCCAATTAATCCAAGTAGCAAAATGGCCGAAAGTAGCTAGTTGGTGTTGGTTTAGCATAGTTGATTCACCATGGCCGATTTGTAACATATATGAAGGATTTTGTTTGAAGCATCTTCTACCATATTAATTAGGGCCTTGTAATATAATGTTTGTCACTTGTGTGTGCATAATTTTGCTGTTTTTCCTTTGGATGAAGTAGTGGTTGTTTATCATTTAAGAAGGGGACCATTTGGATGAATATTTTTATGGACAATGAATTTTTGTACAGTATTTTCTGTTTGAATCAATGTTTCAACAACAAAAATAGAATGTGTTCCTAGTAGTGATATAAGTGGCTTAATTAGGTTGCACCATTTTCACAATTGCTTTGTCTTATAATTTGTTCCAAGGATTAAAATTGTAATAATCCGATCGTTAAAATGGTGCAACCTAATTGTAATAATCCGATTATAAACCAACTCTAGGCCAATGTTTAAATGACAATTTTTTTAAGGAGAACTTACTGATAAGTCCCATGTACCAAGTTCAAAACCCAGCTAATCCCAAAACAAAATACTTGCACCAATTAGTCAAATACATTTTTAATTATTACCAAAAAATCCTTTTTTTTTTTTTTATTTACAGACACTGTTCACATCTTACTACCCTAGGACTTCCGTCAAACGGTCGCCGGAGACTCGTCGGAATGTTCAACATCGCCGAGAAGTCGCCGGAGTTTCGTCGGAAGTTCACCGGAGTGTTAAGAACTTTAATGGAAGTCGCCGGAATGTTCAGAACGTTCACTGGACGTTAAGAACATCATTGGAGATTCACCGGAATGTCTAGAATATTGCCGGGAAAAAAAAAAGAATAAATGGATAAATTATAGCCAAAAAAACATAGCAAAATGTGCTAAATATTGATAAACTAAAAGGAAAAAAATTGAAACGACAAAAAACAGTAATAATGGAGAAAACATATGTTATTTTTCAATTTTTGTAAGGTTCAAGCAAATAATCTCTAAATAGTGATCAAACTGAAAAGTATGTTTTGAAACTGTAAAATGTTACAGTTTCAAAACAAAAATCTATTAAGCATTTATCCTTATTAATCAAACTGAAAAACATGTTATGAAACTGTAAAATGTTACAGTTTCAAAACAAAAATTTATTAAGCATTTATCCTTATTAATCAAACTGAAAAACATGTTATGAAACTGTAAAATTTTACAGTTTTATACCATGATTCATTCCAGCACCAAAAAAATTTGAAACTGCAAAATTTTATAGTTTTCACCGCCTGTAATTAAAACTCGAAAACTACTTGTTCAGAATTTGAAAATTTTCTCCATTAGAACAGAAAAACAGAAGTGTATAGCAGAGAGAGAAAAAAAAAAAAAAAGAGATCGAAGGAGAAAGGCGTATGTAGAGAGAGGATTGTACTCCGGCAACTATTTTTTGTTTAAATCTAGTCAAATCTGATGTAGATCTACTCAGATCTGATGTAGATCTGAGTAGATCTACATCAGATCTAAGTACATCCACTCATCTTCTTCGTCGGAAATATATCATCTTCTTCGTCGGAAATATATCATCTTCTTCGTCGGAAATATATTATCTTCGTCGTCGGTGAGAGTAAAGTCACGAGTTGATTTCGATGGTTGGCGGTTATCAGTGAACCCCGATCAATGGAGAAAGACATGATCACCGGTCGTCGTCCATGACAAAGACGATGAGAGAAAAATGCAGGAAAAAAAAACGAGAGAGGAAGGGAAGCAAAAAACAGAGAGAGAGAGGAAAAGACTTTTGGGTGTACTCAAAAAGTTATGGGATTAAATGGTGTTCACATGTTTCATATGGGACCTGTGGGTAATTTCTCCTTTTTTTAATAACAAACGGTGCAAAAATGGTCCAACTAGGCCCACACCGCTTAAAGCCTCGGCCTAGCATTTTGAAGCCCAATATAAACCTGGGTGGGTTCTATCAAAACAGCATAGTCGGGCTCACTACACAACATTTGGAAGACGGCTTGGGCTGGAGTTGGGTTTCACAATTACTTTTTTAATAAACTTTTTTGACTTTTTTTTTTTTTTGTTTTTTTTAACTTCAGTGAATTCTTTTTTAATTTTTTTTAAAAATATGCTCATACTTAGACTACTTGAACTTGAAAATATATAAATAAATAAAAAAGAAAAGAAAATTATGCGAAAGACCACCCCCCCAAAAAAAAAGTAAAAAAAAAACTTTTTTTAACTCTTTTTTTTTGGCGATTTTTTTTTTCTCCAAAAAGAAATCTTCTAGACTAAACAGATTTGCAAACTAAATTTTTTTATACAAATTTAAATTTTTTCATGGCAAAGTTTTACGACTTTTTAAAAATTGTAATCAAACAGAATGCACAATAAGAGGCAGGGGCAAAACCCTAGAGAAGGGCATCACTTGAGATTTCATTTGGGAAGTTAGATTGACTTTTTAACTATTTTAATTCAGGCTACAAGGTTTGTTTGGGTTATTTTTTTGATTTTTTAAATTTTATTAAAAATATTATGATTTGAGTGTAACATTTTATTTTCTTAATTTTTAAATTTATTTTACCTTTTTATAACTAATTTAATCAAAAAAAACTAAACTAACCCAACCCAATTGCCAAACCTCACCAAATCATAGGACCTTCAAAACCAACAATACACCAAAATTATTTATAATGAGCAGATGAGGACTTCTTAAAATAGGCTGAGGTCTCGTTTGTGAATAGATTTTTTTAGTATTTTTTTAATCTTTTGATTAAAACATGATATAAAAAAATTAGTATATTTGAAATGATTTTTTGATTTTTTTAATGAAAATATATATAAAAAATAAAGAAAAAATAAAATTTTTAACTTCTTTATATAAGTGATTGATTTTTTAATTTTTAAATTAAAAAAATGATATTGTCAGACGAGGCGATCTAGAACCAAGCTTTATCACCTAATAACTATAGTAGGAGGGGAATTATGAAAGGAAAAAGAGAAAAAAAAATTCATCTCTATTATCGGTTTTGTAATGGTACTTTCCGTTGTACCTAAAAGAACAGTAATGGCTTCACATTATTATAGCTTGGATGTTACTTGTTGCCCAATTCATAGGCTTCACATTGATAATTGATACCCAATGATGTACAAGCATTTGCCCTTATTTGCCAAGCCTTTTTTTTTTTTTTTTTTTTTTTTTTTGAATTTTTAGTTAAATTTTATTAAAAAAATAACATAAGTTAAAAAGTTAATAAGATAAAATATTACATTTAAATTAAAATCATTTTATTTTTTCATAAAAATTAAAAAAATTAAAATATCAAAAGCCAAAAAGCCAATCAACTTAAAAAAAATAAAAATAAAATAATAATAATAATCAATACAAAGTTAACAATATCACATTGTACTTTCAAAATATCTAAGTTTCCGTACAGTAATTGGTGAGGTTTTTGGCAGGCTCTGAATAGGTCTCCCGCGATGAGATCACCTTTAAGCTCCTTTCAAAGATTTTAAATGGAAGAAATTGAGGAAGAATTTTTTTATATAAAAAAATAAATAATAATAATAATAATAATAATAAAGTAGTTATTGAAGGTAGCCAATAACTTTAAGAGAAAATTATACACCAGAAGTATGTCAGAAAAAAATTACAAAAAGCTGATAAATATTAATAATTAAAATCATAAACATTTTCATTTTTATGTAATAATTGTTCAAATACTCCTTGACAGTAGTTTTCCTTGACTTTAAAGTGAAGGATTGAATAAGAATATATTTCATGTATTTTGGTAAGATCATATACAAGAAGAATCTTTTATGAAAGGTATTTAAAATCCATTAGTATAAAATTCTTAAATCCATTCTTTTCTTTCTTTTTTTTTCTTTTTTCTTTTTTCTCACCCAGGCAAAGATAACCAACTTTTGGTAATATCTTAATTTGAAAATATTACATTGACTTAAACATCAAATTATTAATATCAAATCCATTTATTTCAATTTTATAAAATTCAAAGAGAGCCTCAAATTTGTACCCCATAGTTATTTATTTGGGTTTGGCTTCGCTCAAGTCCGTAATCAGATGGAAGGGTACTGTTGGGCCTGTGATGGGCTATTACAAGTCCCGTTTCAATAATCTGAACCGTTAATGTGTAGAATCTGTTGAGTACTATATATTAATAAAAAATCACGTATATCGGATATCGATAGTTTTGTGATCAAATCAGTTTTGTATAAAAAAAATAGACGGTGATAAAATAAACAGTTGACAAAAATCTGATCCGATAAAATAGCTATCAATATTCGATCAACGTGATTTTTCTTAGATATATAGTATTTGGTGAGTTCTACACATTGAACGATTCGGATTATCTAAACGAGACCCATGATGGGTCCCTATGGGCCTAATAACATTCTCTATTTCAAAGACCGGAAAGGAGTCGATCCCTATTTATGTCTAGTTAAATTCATGATTACTATTCAAATTGATTGGGTATGCCAGAATCATTAAAAGTATCCGCATAAGTCTCAACAAATTTTGAGTTAAATTATAACTCAGAATTTACTTTTGTTATTTTAGCTAGTCACTTTTTTAGTACACACTGCATCAAACTCTCGATTCTAACTCAATCTTATTAAAATATAATTTTCTTATTGTATTTTTTTATTAAATTGATGAGGTGCCACCCAAACAATTCTTAAAAAATAAAAAAAAATTGTCGTTGACCAGTTGACCGGTTAGGCTAATTTTGAATATTTTTCTTCTTCTACTACAAGCACTCATGGGACATCCGGGTGGGCATCCGAGACGATGTCCGGTAGGTGTAATATAATAAAAAATATATTAACCTATCTCAAAAAAATAATAAAATATTAAATAATTAATGAATGGTATCTCAACAAATTTGTTGAGGTACTGTAGCAAATTCAACAAAAAATTAATTTGGAAAAAATTTGTTGAGGCTGATAGAGGAGGAATTTTATAATTTACTAGCTATATTTTATCTTTTTGTTATTTTGCCTCAGCTAATGCAAATGCTCCCCCAGACTTCTTTCCAGATGTTCACCTGGATGTTCCGTGAGTACTTGTAGTAGAAGAAGAAAAATGTCTAAAATTAGCCTAATCGGCCGATCAACTGGTCAATGGTAATTTTTTTTATACATTTTTTAACAAATGCTTGGATGGCACCTCATCAATTTAATAAAAAGAGAAAGAATAAAAAACACAATAAAAAAATAATATTTTAATAAA